TTGCCATAATACCGCAACACCTGCTGTTAAAGAAGTTGTTAATGACTGCACTTTTACCCTGATTTACAGGAGACAGCTACTGAAGTGTCCTTCAGTGTAACATTGTAGTTTATTTGCTAAAAATACACCCCCCAAAAAAATCATTTGAAGACATATTAAAGAATTTTTTTTGTATTTTGCACACAGTACAACTTTTTTTTTAAATACTATAACAATAGTGTAAGATTCTATGATTTATTCATGATTCAGAGTAACATTATGTACCAAACACAAGAATCATGTCTTTACACATAAGTAATAATTTTATAATGTTATTATATTAGTGTTTTTATGATGCATGGAAAACATTTTTACAGAAGTGTCCAAACTTGGACCTGGAGGGCCGGTGTCCCTGCAGGGTTTAGCTCCAACTTGCTTCAACACACCAGCCTGGATGTTTCTAGTATACCTAGTAAGAGGTTGATTAGCTTCTTCAGGTGTGTTTGATTAGAGTTGGAACTAAAATCTGTAGGGCACCGGCCCTCCAGGAACAAGTTTGGTGACCCCTGCCTTACCCAAATAATAAAAATACATATAAATACATTTAGGTCATTTACTGTAATCATTACTATTAGACTGTGAAGAGACTTTTAACCAGCACAACAAAAAAAAACTTCTGAAGACAATCCCCTACTGCACCTTTAAGACTTTTGTACCCATGTTAAGGTTACGTCAACACTAATCCAGATCAATTTGAAAATGGTGTTTTCGTTTTAAACTCTCCATATCCACCAATTTTCATTTCTTTCCAAAAAAAAAAAAATGCTCATCCGCACTAAAACAGCTGAAAATGCTTTCGGTCATGTGCTGCACATGCGCACAGATGTAAGACACTTTTACCTGCATCATATCGGTCTGCCGTTTATTTACTTTCCATCTTTTTGAACATCTCTGGACAACAGTTCCATGAGAGGCAATATGGAGCATCCAAAACCTCTGCTTTACGTCGTCCGCCATGTTAGGTGAATTGGTCACATGACTAAAATACATCATTTTTAAAAGCCTCCATTTTCAAATGTAATCGTTTTGGACAGCAAAAAGGTGTGTTTTGTTTCCTAAAAACACGAAGGCAAAAACGGACAACAAATGCTCACTTATAGAATTCACACTGCACCCTTTTAGTTCTATTTTTAGGAAAAAACATCAACAACTTCCTGAAATCCGAGGCAAAGCAGTGCGTAAGTGAGAAAACGTAAGTATTTTACGTTTTGCCACTTTAGTGGCTAATTCGTACGAAATGGTACGATTTTAAAAAGGAGGCGTGGCACCTGACCCCACCCCTAACCCCAACCGTCATTGGGGGATAAGCAAATCGTACTAAATTGTACGAATTAGATCGTACGAATTCATACGAATTAGCCGCTAAATGAAAAAGTTACGAATTGCCGTGAGATTGTGTTGGTTCTGACTGACAAATACAGTCAACAAGAGTGCGAGATAGAAGGCGGCAGAATGTTCAAAGATGAGTTGTTTCCCTCTCACTTCACATGTGTGTTGGGTTTTAAAATCTACTGTAGTTTGCGAACCAGACAGACAGAGTTGAAGAGTCCTTTACTTACTTCATTTGGAGAGTTATGGGCATGTTGGGCGGGATGTGTTTGCTGAGTGGAATATAGTAGGTGTGGTTTCCCTTCCTGCAAAACATGGACAGCAGTCAATTCGTTATAGAGCATTCTGAGGTACGACAAAAGAAGAAATCCACATTCATTTTAAACCCTTTTGTACAGAGAAGCGCAGACCAATGAGATTCCTTTCGAATTATAATGTCTGCCAAGGGCACACAATCTCTGGAACCAATGAGGAATCAAGTTAATTAATCTGTAGATTAATAAATAAAGCTCTAGTCCTAATGTGTGCATTACCCTCGCGGCACATGTCAACAGAAATACAGGTTTGACTTGACCAAGAAACAATGGGTGCTTTCACACTAGCAGTACTGATGTGCACATGGGGCTGCTTGACATCAGAGTTTGGTTTGTTTGGCTAGTCTAAACAAGATTTTCTGACCTCAGGTGCCCGAGTCTACCTGAAAGGGGTGGTCTTTAATGGCACTTTGAAAACGAAACTACATTTTAAAGTTCAAACTGTGAAGCTACTGAGGTTCAGATCTAAAAATCACTGTGTTGACACAGTCCGAAGGTGGTAGGAAAGGAGATGTCAATCGAACACTGGTACAAACCCAAAGTGAAAGCAACCTTATGCTACGTTCACACCAAACGCGGATGAAGCATCAAGAGCGGGAAGTTTACATGTTACGTCAATGCAAAGGCGCGAATAGACATCCTGCGGCATGAGTTGAGCGTTTTGCGTGTTTGACGTGCGAATCGCACAAATTGCTCGAGTTGGAAAATCTGAACTTCAATCGGCATTCACGTCACGTTAACCAATCATGAGCTTGCTCTTGTATGGGCGTGATTATGACGTAGTTGGTGTCCCAAGTGGAAATTCTATTGCTGACACTGGACAACAGCTCATCAAACTGGGCCTTGCTCAGTATGAAGCGCCGCTGATCATCCAGGTATAGCTTTTTTTAAGAGTTGATGAATTCACAGAGCTGGGTGCACCTCTGAAAGGATCTAGTAGACTCTGACAAGGTGCAGAACGAATCTACATTGTTTTTCAGCCTTCCTAAAGCACATAAAGCACAAGTAACCTCTCAAAAAAATCCATATTAGCCATTTAGCAACGAAGCTAGAGTCACCGGGCAGACAGAAACCCCACCCATGAAGCGAATCTGCATCTATTGTGAAGTGAACTTGACGCATGAATTAAGCGAATTTGACATACGAATGTAGTTGATTTGACGTGCAAATGAAGCGAGTAAACTCAAAATATTCAATCATCTATTCACGCGCAAATAGTGCGATGTGTTCACCCGTGCTGCATCTGGTGTGAACACAGCATTAGAGGTGTTTTAAGCTCTCAATACAGTTGACAATGCCAAATGCGAGAAGGCTGAGGTGAACGCTTGAGGGATGAAGGTGAAGCACCACTGTAATTTAACTGGATTAATCCTAGTCTACTCGTCAAGTCACCTTCGTTTACAGACCACTTTATACAGTGTAGATTGAGTAAAATATGATTGACATGGATAAGCAGCAGTTTACATTATCATAATAGCATAGCCACAGCCATGTCACCCTACAGCCCAAGAGCGGTTACTCGCTAAAGGTAAGCAGGGCTGAGCCTGATTAGTGCCTGGATGAGAGACCACATGGGAAAACGAGGATGCTGTTGGAAGTGGTGTTAGTGAGGCCAGCAGGGGGCGCTCAACCTGTGGTCTGTGTGAGTCCTAATGCCACAGTTAAGTAAAGTGAAGGGTGCCGTCTTTCAGATGAGATGTTAAAAACTGAAGTCATTAAAAAACCCATGGCACTTCTCGTAAAGAGCAGGGGCGTAACCCCGGTGTCCTGGCCAAATTTCCCTTCATTGGCCCTTACCAATCATCCCCATCCACTGTCTCTCCACTCCACCAATAGCTGGTGGTGAGCGTGGCTGCCGTCGCATCATCCAAGTGGAGCTGCACACTGGTGGTGGAGAGGAGTGACCCCCCTCATGATTGTGAAGCACTTTGGGTGTGTGGCCATATGAATACACATTATATTACATAATATAAATCAATAAAAAAAATTACTATTGTGTAACATACTCAGTATATCCTACAGACCCAGGATCTACATTCCTGCACAGCTCATATCCAGCTTTAATCAAACTCATAGATTCATATCTGTGTTTTTGGTCCATGTTCTCTATTGTTGACTAGCTGTCAAAAGCTTGTGTTGCAGTTTAATGTCATCGGCTGTTGTGACTGGTGTTTCCAAACTAAAATGGGAACTTTAGCATTTATAAAATGCTTCTGTTTTATGGGTCGAAGATGGCAGAGTATTTTGAGCAAAATTTGTGCCAGTATTTCACAAACAAATCCAGGGTTTTGCAAATAAACACAGAGGGACCTATCATACACCCGGCACAATAAGGCGCGAGATGTGTTTGCCCCAACGTGTTTCTTTTTTCAGACCAAATTAACCTTAATTTTCCCGTTTTCCACCATATTGTTTAAATAGCAAATTCATTGTGCCACTTTGCGGACTCATGGGTGTTTCGGTCTAGAATGGAGGTGTGTTAAGGCGCATGGTTGGTGTGTTGCTATTTTGAGGAACTAAAATAGACTGAGCAATAGACTAGCTGAGAGGAGGTCTGAAGTCCAGCGCAGGGCGCGTCAGTTGTGCGCCTCTCTTAAACATTGCTTAAAACACGCAGGGTGTACGGCAATACGCAAATATCTTTACAAATGAAAAAGAAATTAAAGGAATAAAATATGTTTAAAAATTATTACTTTGTACATAAATGTAATTTGATTAGTACTATTTATTATATGCATAGTTATCTATATTTTTTATTAAAAACAAGCTTAGATTTGTCCACCTCTCAGGTTTTAGACCATATGGTGCACAGCATGTGTATTTGGATATAAAGGCTGATTTATACTTCTGCATCAAACGCCGGCGTATGCTATGGCGCTGACGCATAGCCCTTCGCCGTGGCTGACGTGCACCTCTCAAAAACTGTAACTACACGTCGCAACGACGCGTAGCGCAAGCTCTGTGATTGGTCGGCTTGGTATCGCTGACGAGTCTGGGCGGGACTGAGAGCCGCATGAATGGTGCGAGCCTGATGGAGAGATTGTTTACAAGTGTGGAGTCCCGTGAAGGAGTTCCGGATGGAAAGTTTTGTTTTGTGTTTACCTCATAGTTAAAGTTGTTGCACGTCCGCCGGTTCCTGCCTCAAAATGAGCGAGTTTGAGCCACTTGTACATCCCGGAAGTGTTCAGGAAAACAAAAAAGCAGCGAAGAAACTCGACACAGAGGAACATTTGCACATCACTGCCAACTAGCGTTTCGGAAGTGTTAATGCAGACCAACAGAGACAGCGCACAGAAGTATAAATGCACAGCCACACGCGTTGCATGCGCCGTGGGTTACGCCGGTCACTTGACGCAGAAGTACAAACCAGGCTTAACCCAGTTGTTTGACCCCACTTCGTTATTACTGTATATTTATTCATTTGCTGGAAATCAGAACTTAATTTAGAAATAGTAATGCAACCAATCTTTGCGCTTAACAATGAAAACTAATTATGTAGGCTAATGGATGTCTGTGCATAGCCTACAACACCGTTTCCTTATCCACAAAATAGAGAAAGAGGAAGTGAACGTAAAGGCTGATTGGAGGAGGCTCATTCTTTATCCTCATGTTTAACCGTTTCTCGCTAGTGAAGCGTTCAGATTTTCCACTTACAAAGTCCGCCATGTAAATAGTAAATGCGCTATGGCACGATGCAACTGACTCTTAAAGGGAATGGGTCATGAGACTCTGATTGGTTTATTCTCAAAACCCACCCATAACTCATTAAGAGAATAGACTCAACACTGTTAGACCAGGGCGCCGCGGCGCAGTGTATTTTTCTATCCTTAAAATAGCAAAAGTGGAAATTCAGACACGCCCTTAACGCTTTTACCCCCTGCGCTTTAGACATTGCGCCTAGATCGTTAAAATAGAGCCCATTGACTTGACTCACAAAAAGTTGCAAAAACAAGCCCGGTGGATTTAACAAACTTGCTGTGAAATTGTTTTACAAATATAAATGATATTTTACAAATAAATACAGCCCCTCTGACAAACATCATACTCAAAAATAATGAAAAATGAACATCCTAAATTAATTTGATTCCCTTTTCCATTGAACAGTTTGGTTTTAATTAAGTTGAAATGTGAATGGAAGCTTCAAACTGAAATGATCTTAGCAACCTTTGGAGCTTCCCCTCAGGTCTGTCGATAAAACTCAAAATACACTTTTAAGACAAGAGGAAAAGAAAATCTTCTGCAATCTCTCTGCTGAATTATTGTGCGACACCTACCCACAGTTCTCCTGACAGTACTGCTGGTCTATCGCTTGGTGATTTTGTGTTATGAAGATGGATTGTATTGTCGTGTTTGTCCCTGCAGAGACGATATGAACAGAGACATCATGCTTTATTGGCCACAGTTTGATTTCATTACATTATCATCATTATTATTATTATTATTAAGAATTAGTTTGATTTATTATTAATTATCAGTCATTATCATTATTAAATTGTCAATATAAGAAATTCCTAAAAACCACATTAGCTTACAAACAAATATTTGTGCACCAAATTGAGAAAATTCAATGCTGTGTTCATACCAGACGTGGCACGCGCGTCAAGCGCGAGTGATTTACATGTTAAGTCAATGCAAACGCGCGAATAGACATCCTGCAGCGCGATACGCGCGAATGGCGCAGCGCAAATGACGCAAATTGCGTGAATGGCGCGGGACGAATTGAGCGTTTTGCGCGTATTATGCGAAATCTCTCGAATTCGAAAATCTGAACTTCAGCGTACATTCACGCCGCGTTAACCAATCAGAAGCTTGCTTTTGTGGGGCCGTGATTGTGATGTAGAACCTGATGTCTGTGTTCCGAGGGAAATCCTCCAGCCTTCACCGACAATAGTTCATCAAACTGGGCTGGGCTCAGTCAGAAGCACCGCTGAAAGCCTCCGTCATCCAGGTTCAGTTTCTGGAGGAGTTTATGAGCTCACAGAGCTGGATGAACCTCTGAAAGCATGTAGTGGACTCAGACACGACCCTAAACATATCGACGCTGTTTTTCAGTCTTCATAAAGCACATTAACACTGTTATTTTCTTCATAAAATCCATGTTAGCTATTTAACAATGAAGCTAGAGTCTTCGGGCAGACAGAAGCCCTGCCCATCACGCGAATCCGCGTCTGTTCTGAAGTGAATTTGACACGCGAATGAAGCGGGGTTTGACGCGCGTATGAAGCGAGTAACCTCAAATGTTCAAGCGGCTATTTATGCGCGAATAGTGCAATTTATCCAGCGTTCCGCATCTGGTGTGAACACAGCATAACACAGGGGTCACCAATCTCGGTCCTGGAGGTCCGGTGCCCTGCAGGGTTTAGTTCCAACTTGCCTCAACACACCTGCCTGTATGTTTCAAGTATACCTAGTAAGACCTTGATTAGCTTGTTCAGGTGTGTTTGATTAGGGTTGGACACCGGCCCTCCAGGAACAAGTTTGGTGACCACTGGTCTAACAAAATAATTGATTAAATAAAATCCAACCTCTCAATAAAACCCAACATTTTTCATAAAACATCAGGTTTTTTAACCAACTTACAGTCAGTAGAGTTGATCAGCTTCTCCGGCAGGCTTTCTAACCACCCTGAAAAGGACAGCATGGAAACGAGTTCGGATGAAGACAACAGCGCATCTGTAAAGGCATATTTGAAGACCGAACACCGTCCGGTACAGCGTCTTTTACCTTCGACTGTTTTTCTCAGATTGGTGACTACGTGTGACAAAAAGTTGAAAGGGACGGCGGTGCCTGTCAGGTTGGTGCTGTGATTGGGAATTGAAGTAGAGGGACAGCAGTAGACCTCGTCTGAATAAAACACATTGGAGAAATCGATGTCTGGAGGCCAGGGACCAGGAGAGGCAGTGGAGGCCGCTGAAAACAAACAAAATAAACTGAACTATACAAAAAAGAACAATGATCAGAATATATATATATATATATATATATATATATATATATACACATACATACATAAACACATACATACATACATACATACATACATATATATATATATATATATATATATATATATATATATATATATATATATATATATATACATACATACATACATATACACATACATACATATATAC